GGGATACTCAAGGGAAGATACCCTATGAAGAAAATTTAAATAAATTATAGAAAAATCGGGAATTGAATATAAATAAATACTGGTAATATATTAAAGTGCTTTATAATAAATATTGTATATAAAGTACTTTATTAATTAATTGATGTATAATTACATTCTATGTTTTGAGCGGAGAGGAAGGAATTTTAAATGAAATAAAGGAGTTTAAATTAAATATACTTTTAAATACATCAATATTTAAAGTTTTTTAAGAAAATGGTTCAGATTTCCCTCTAATTAAATCATTTACTTATATATCTTTGAAATATCTCTCCGAAATCCCACTCTATATCCTCTTTATCCTTACAGGGTATGTCTGGTAAAAAAAAGGGCTAAAACGGACAGCGGCTGCTTTTCACTTATCAGAGCGGTCGGGGTCCAAAATTATTAACGCCCAAAGCTCGAAATCCGATTTAACGGGCCCCCCGGCGGCGGTCCCAATCCCAAACCCAGAAAACCAAGTCAATCCCGAGCCCAAGGCTCTGGCACACACATGACATGCAAAGTGAATCCTGTCCTGGGGAGGGGAAAGGGGTTCACATAACTTACGAGTTCGCCCAGCTGCCATGGATCCGAGTCAGAGTCAGAGATTTTGGGATTCTCCAGAGAATATGAAGAGAAATATACTCCCAGGACGGAAGTGCACTTGAGGCTGTGGCGCCGGAATTCGTGTGAAAAGTGTTGCAGGATAACAGTGTCATCTTGCAGATTTCCATTTCCATGGACCTGCTTCACACATTCGACCGGGAAACAAGTGTGTTGGGCCAACATCCTGCTAAAGGAGGACCCATTAATTGCACTTCGATAATAATTTCATGCTCGTTAACAGGACTCGCCCTCGCTGTGTGTCTAATTTTACTGGCATATTAGTTACACGGACTCGGACAGGACCTGCACCCGGACCCATAACCGTGGTCCTTGTTATCGTTAAACAGTCGCTAATTAGACGCACATGTGTAACATGAAACCGCATTTAAGGTCGCAGGACATGGAAAAAGGGAAGAAAAAAAGGACGCAGGAGCAACCACCGAAACGTTGCTCCGTTTTCCGTTCCGGCGAAGCACTAAAACTGTCCCAATTGTTACGAAATTATACACTTGAACTTCTCAACTTTTTTGTCCTCCATCCATTTTTTCACCCCCTCGACACCCAGGCGGGTTAAGCACATGCCCGGGGGTCAGTTCACATGTCTTGATCCCAGAACCGATTCCGATATCAATACCAATCCCGCTCCTGGTCACAGTCACACTTCCTTAACACTAATCCAGAGGGTTATCTTTTTTGAAATAAAAAAACGAATTTATGTGTCGCAAAAATTGTAATGTGTGGGAAAGGATTTCAGATTTTAATTTGTTGTTAAGCAATATTATGGGTTCAATATAATGATTACTGATTAATAATCGATTCGAAAATCAATCCTAACTAAGCTAAAAATAATCGATATTTTTATATGAGAATTTTGTTGATAAATCAAAGTATTAAAAACTCAGAACTAATTGGTAAATAATAAAAATAAAACTGTTCTCTATTATCCTTTATTAGCTTAATAAATCTATAGATATTTTTGATGTCATTAAATTGATTTTAAACAAATAATATTAAATTTTATTAAATAAGGTTTCACTTCCCAAAATATAATACAAATCATTGCATTACCCATATTTAGGTTCAAATAAAAGCAAGTTCGATATTTAAAATAACAGTTTTTGATTTACTCCTATAAGTTTAATACATTTATGATAAACACACTTGAGTAAAAAGTTGAGAAGAATTTGTTTATATTTTATGTTCCCACTTCTACACTTGTAAATCTCGTTAATATGCCCGATTTAAGGCATTTAGATTTAGAATACGTAATGTATTTTGAACAACAAAAAATTATATTAAATGAAGATATTCTTGAACCTTAAATTCAATTTATAGACAATTAATGTATAGCAAATATTTCGATATGTTATAGACATATATATAAAAGAATAAAGTGAATATTCTTAGTTATATTTATTAAATCATAGCCTTGTTAGTTCTTCTTTAAAGTATTTAATTACTTCCTTTTAGGATTCGGAAAAGGACTTTGCATTAATACAAATTTATGTTGTGACATTTAAGAACTCACTTTTGAGGAGCTCCCTTGAACCTGCACCCTTTTCAATTAAGCCAGATCTGTGTATCCTTGGAAAAGCCAAAGTTCCTAGGCTGGGGGATATATGTATATATATATATCTGGCCGAGATTTAATATCTGGCCGCCCTTTAATCTATCAGGCCAACAGCTGTGGCCAATGGCCGAAAATTGAGCAATCCGGCATCCAAAGTCCACCCTCCCAGCCGCTGGATACTCGTATCCCCTGGATATTGTTATTTTCGCCGCTGCTCTCTGGTGTTTTCATCTGAGATTTTTTTTTTGTTTCCCTCTGTTTTCTTTTTTTCTTTGTTTTTAATAAATTTCAGTGCAGGATGGGCCAGGACAGGACAGTGGGGGGGGGGAATGCTCGGGATTCCTTTGTTATTTCGCCTGGCGACATTTGCATGCCTCATTTGAGGACAAGTTCCTCTTCATTTATTTATTTTATTGCGGCCTCATTCGCGTTATGAACTCAATGGCCCATGGACATTATTTTAATAATTGCAACCCCGCACCCGCCCCTTCGATCCGCCAGAGCTGTTTGCTCTGTTTATTACTCGCATTCCATTGATTTTCATGGATTTCTCGTAATAAACTTTTCTGTACGAGTATTGTAATTTTTATGTACAGAATTTCAGCAGACTTTTTGCCTTTTGTCCAGAACTTGACGAGGCACAGGGGCGATTTGGTAGAGAGTTCTAGCGCCAGGATATACAGGATATCTTGAGTGAAATGATATAAATTTAAGATATTTTTGATTTTGTAATTATTTAGTGGGTTTTAGAGTATTTCGTATTTAATATCCTTTGTATTTACAGCTTCAACTTAAGAGCATCGAAATCTGACAACTATAAGAAGAACATTCTTTTTTCCTTTTCCATATAATATAATAATTATAGAACTAAATCTATATTATTTTGGTGTATCTATGATTGTTAATAATCATTTACAGAGCATTTGTCTTAAGACTTAAGTCTGAATATTCATCCGTGAATTTTTAAGATAACTTTTTGACTGATTAGATTTGGAATACGTATTCTGTATATAATATATAGTTATATATATAGTGATTTAATGATTTCAAGTATCTAAACTACTATATAACCGATATATTCCTGATCTTAATCATCACATCTCCATGATTTCTATAGATACATATGTATCTTTAGCTATGGCTATGTATCTAAAGGATTCTCTCGGCAAATAATCAACCGGAAGACATGCCGTCTGAGATCTCAAGACTACCTACTCTCTCTCTCTCTCTCTATATATATATATGTATATATATAATATAAACCTTATAGGATCCGGCCTCATGCCCTCGAAGGAGTAGAGACCAATCCAATCTGATCCCAGGGCTAAGCTTACACATACACACACTTTGCGGCGGTTAAATTTATCTTGAGTGGATCGCGTAGAGATCTTTTGGCAGGACAATGGACCATAGATCGATCTAGCTCAGGATCCGGCCATATATCCCTATATATCCCATATATATATCCCATTGTGGCCGGGTGTGTTTTTGTGCATATGAAATGTGGGCTATGGACGATGGGATTTGGACAAGTGTCGGTTGCACAATGGAGGGGCAGGTTAAAGCCCAAACAAAGGACCTGCACGATCGCCCGATAAAGGATTATCCCAGGTCATGCATATATGTGCATGCGAATGAGAGACAGTCGGTCTGCCGAGGATCCTTTTTTGAGGGCACATTAGGCCTAAGTGCGGCTTAGCCGAATGCTAATAGCCGGAAAATAGATGCGCATACGGTAAGTACGTTATATCCACACACATGCCGGAGTATAACCTGTGTGTGCAGCCTTAGGTGGCTTTTATTGTGCGCCACCCTTTGTGCCAATTGTTGCCGCAAATTGCTGAACAAAGAACAAGTGTAGCGCCGGCGCTGCCACACAGGACCATCCATCCCATATATGTACATATATCCTTCCACCATGTCTCTTTTTTTCCCCTACATACATAGCCTGGATGGCCACCCATTAATATTTCAATCGCTAAAATATGCGACCCGAAACTACCCAGTCGATGTTGCCATTTTGTATTCATGGCATAGGATTTGTTTAGAAAAATGCGACTGAAGTGCTGAAAAAGGAGCGGGAGGACACTCTCCAGGAAATGCAATTCCCTGACAAGTGAATTTCGGCGGAATATCAGAGAAATGACGAATTGAACATGCTCTACAAAAAGCATACATTTAAAAGGGATTAGGAAAACATTTTACTATATATTTATCTTTAATCTCTTGGTGCATACATTTCTGATAAAGGATGTCATAGAAATGTAACAAAAATGTAATATAAAAGTTTATGTAATCAACTTTCTGATATAAAACACTAATTACTTTAATTACTTACTAATTCAAAGACTCTTTCAATATTATCTTTCAACTTTACCATCAAAGAGTGTAAGAGTGTCATAGGAATATCCGGTTTTTCTCCTCTCAATTTTTCAACTGGCAGCGTGCGTGCTTTTTTTGTGCCAGGACCAGCACTTTTTCAGAGGACTCGCGAGGACACCACACTATGTTTCTAATCAGTGCAGCTTCCGCCGCTTTTCCGCCGCCGCTGCATCCATGACCCCCTGGAATTTTCCGTCAGTCAACAGAGCGCGATATTTGTCAACAAGCGGAACTATAAATATGCATGCAAAGGGAGATGCAAGCTGAGGGAAACCGGGGCGGAAAATGGGAAAATTTGAGGAGAGAGAGAGTGAAACTTTGGGGGGACCAGTGAAAATGGAAATGAAAAAGCATGCCATGGGGAAAACGTAGAAGGCTTTGATTTTCTCCTTTCAAGAGCAGAGCTAGGCATTTGAATTCATTTCATTCATTTCGTTCTTTCCAAACTGTAAACAACTTTTTTACTAACCCGCTTCTTTTTAGGCCTATCCAAAAAAAATTTTCTACTCTCTCAGAAAAGTTAGATACCTTGAAAATATTTTAGACGCTCTAGATACATAGATAAGTTAATCTAGTAGAATTAGCTACAAGCAATTGTAATAGGGACGTGTTATATCTTCTCAAATTCTAAATTTCCAAGTGAACTTTTAGTAGTTTTTCCAATTTCCAACAAAATGTTCCGTTTAGTGAGAGGAAGTGTCTTGACTGAGACCCAGCAATGGGTTCGTATGCTGACCTACGGTGAGTCTATGGATATCCTTTTTGGATATATACCCCAACATCATAGCTGAAATCCTTTCCTAGATACAAAGTCCGTGATAACATCATGCCAACCATGCCAGAAGGTTTTCCAGCAGGCAGGATTCATGTCCTTAAGGAAGATTCCGACTCTGGAGCTCTGTGATCGTTTTCCCAAGGAGTTGCCACAGATGCCAAAGCCCTGCAATTTTCACAACCTTCTGAACCAGCGGGGTTCCGTAGATTCCTTGCGGTTGCAGTGCGTCCGAGATCGGAACAAACAAGTATTAATCGAGAAACGTCAGCAAAATGCCAAGCTGTTTGTCAGCCGAGAAACTTTAAACAATTCTCGCTGGAACCTCAAGAATAAGTTGGATGTCACAATGAGAAAATAGTTGGGCAACACGCTTATATACATTTCGCAAATTCAAAATTGCACACTTTTGTAATAACTGAAAACAACAAAAAAAACACCCAGCAAAAGCGGCCTCCTCCAACATTTTTAATCATATGTCCAGGAATACAAAATTAAACCTTTTGTATAGAAAAAGTCAGTGGATGTCCTACTTATTTATTAGATTCTTGCAGGTTACCTAAGCTATAATGATTTACTAAAAGAAGTTGCTCAAGATAGTATTTAGTAAAGCCTTGTACTTGAACTCTCCCTTATTTATGCTCACATTCTACAATATCCTTAGCTTCCTTAAGCCAAAAAATGCTGTCGAATTTAGCTCAGTGTGAGGAAAAGCCTAGGAAAAAGAGGAAAAACCATAGCGGCCAGTAAGGAAGAACCAACAAGCCGCCATGTAGCGGATGTGAGTGCAACAACAATAGCAACATGGCCAACAAACGTTGCAACTCCGGAAGGAACACAAAAAAAAAAAAAAGAAAACAAGGACGCAATTCGGAATCCGCAATGACCAGAGATGGCCAAGGAAAGGGAGCAGCTTTCCCAGCAAAAGAGAAGAAAAATCTGGGAAAAGTCCAGGGACGGAAAATCAGATAGTTCAAGAGAACAAAGATTTATGTGCAACTGAAAATTTAAAAGAAAAAAAACAAGTCAAGAGATACTCATTTAAGCTAATAAAACAAAGAAAATGAAGTCTTATTTAAGGATCTTCCAAGGCTTAAAGGTTCCTCAAGTTTTTAATTACTTAAGTATAAAAATGCATAAATTATCGCAATACAGAAACTATTTCTATTGACATATTTATAATTTAAAGTCAAAGAAATCTTGAATCTATCTCTAATTCCCCAGATAGATATAAAACCCCAAAGCGTTTCGCTTTCAGCTCCGTTTGATGGCCAGTCGCTTTTGAGTATGAAATCGCAATGCCAGGACACCTCTCTTGGCCTTCGATCCGAATTTTCCTTGCTCCTTTTAGCCATACAAATCACACTAAACCGAATACGTCAAGGCGGCAGCAGCAGCAGCTTAACACAAACCGGGGAAAATGGTCGGAAAAGCGTAGCAGTTAGGGGAAGAGGCAAAGCTCTGCTCTGCACTGGCTTTCCTTTGAGTGCCACCAGCCGGTTCAATATCACAGGGAAAATACAAAATACCCGCAGAAAAAAAAAAAACAACAAGGACCTCGTCCTCATCCTCATCCTCGTCCTGGTCCCGATAAGAAACAAAGGCTGCAAAAACAAAACAAAAAAAGGCGAGAGGTGGCCAAAAGCGAAAACAGGAGCTGACTTGACTACAAAACCCAAGTCGCAACGGATGCGGCATCACCAAGGGGAAATCGGGCTGGGGCCAAGTCGATACTGGAAGAAATGTTCAGCTAAAGGATACATAAATATAAGAGGATCAAGGATAATGGAGGAATAGAAGAAATGTTTAGCTAAAGGATATATAATCACTTTTTCTGGCTTCCAAAGAACTGCAGCTACAACTTATTGGTAATTACATGTTCTTGGCTTAAATCAAGCTTGTGAAAAATTTCATTTTCAAAAAGAGATTTAATATTATATCTATAAATGATACAATCCCCTATTTATCTCTCCTTTTTTCTCTCTCTGTACGCTAAAATGAAGAGGGGTATATGCAAGGATTGACTTTGACTGCCGAGCCATATGTATATCCTGTTTGTGCCGAGATTTGGCTTTGAGCTATGGATATCGTTAGAGCAGCTCATCGATTTGGCCCCAGAGGGGCACAAACGGTTAGGGGGTTTTGGAGCTCGGGTCCTGGGTCCCGGGGTCAGAGGTCAGAGGTGGTATGGTGAATTGAGGGTTTGCCTGTTGTCGCAACTTCGAGTGTCGTTTGCTGCAAAGTTTACAAGCTCCAGAGCTCGCTTTTTTTTTGCCTGTTGCTGATGTTGATGTTGCCCTTTTTTAATTACATCCTTCGCCAGGATGGCGGTACAAAAAAAAAGAATAGAGTGCTATATATACATAGGGGGGTGTGGCATGAGAAAAAGGCCCAAACCAAACCAAAAACTTCTACAAATGCCATGGTTGGCTTTGGCCTACGAGTATCTGCAACTCTTTGCACATTTTTATTTACGTTTTACCTTTTTTGTTTTTTGTTGTATTGTTTTTTGCACTCTGCAGTTTATTGTGAAATTCCAATAAAAGCGGGGAGCTGGGTAGGAAGAACGAGTGCAGCGGAAGACAGGGGCCAGGAGCTGGTAAGTTGGGAAATGAGAAATGGGGAGCAGAAGAACAGGGGAAAAACGAGCAGCGGAAAATCGGAAAATTGGCCACGCAATGTGGGAGAGCCGGGGTCCCGGGTACAAAAAAGAAAAAGAAAACCAGAGTTAAGGAATCCTTAAAGGATTCGGCTAAAGGGACAATTGAATGGAGCTACTTTTGAGGGAAGAATTATATGATAGAGATTTCATTCTTTAGGGATCTTTTTGCTTATTTTCTAATTGAAATCTAAGGGTTAATTTGAAGGAATGACATATCTTAGTCTTTAAATATAAATAAGTATATCATTTAACATATTTCTTGATTTTAAGAACCCAAAGTTCTTTATTTCGTTTCATCTCACTTAATATTCTCATAAGAAAGATACCCTTTTATGTTTATTATTTATATTTATTGCACTTTTATACTTATACTTGGTAGGGGATTTTCTTAGGCCACTATGACCATTGGTTGAAAGCATCAAGCACACCTGGAAATATCGAACAGGTAACTCAGGACAAACCCCCTCTAGGTTCAATTGTGCAAGGGATTGCCATGCGATGCGATGCGCCAAGGCCATCATCGTGGAGCACCGCCACCCGACTGGGAAATCGGACGGGGAGATCGGGGGAAAATCGGTCGGAAAAATCAGAGCGGGGAAGAGGAACTCTTGTCTCTTCCTTTGGGTACTTCGGGTACTTGGGTACTTTGGGGATTTTGTGCAGATTTACATGCAAACAATCAAGATATGCCCGGGCTTTCAAGGCCCCAGAGTTGCGAGCAGGAAAAGCGGAAAAGCGGAAAGGCGGTGGAGCGGTGGAGCGGTCGAGAGGTGGCATGGGCGCTCGGGAGCTCGGGACCCGCACCAGGACTTCAGGAGCTCCTGCCAATACGTCATGTGTGCCTCAGTAGCGGCTTACCCGGAGTTGTAGGTGGAAAAATGGGAAATGGAAAACGTTAAGGGAAAAAGCGGAAAAGCGAAGCGGGGGTTAAATGCTCCCCATGCACGTTCCGTTTGCTTTTCACATCTTTTCACCTTTGATTTTCCATTCGCATTTCGATTGTCGCTGGGCTGTTTGGTTTTCCTCGCATTTATTTTGCTCTCTTTTTTTCTACCAAACACAGGGAAAATTAAAAGGGTATTTTGGTTGTGAGATATTATAGAGATATTAAATATAAAGTATTCTGGAACTAGATCTATATTAATAAGCTGAAAATGAGGAATATCTCACCAAAACTATTTAGTATTAGGAAATACTTTATTATTTCATTTGAAATAATTTCTCTTAATAGCAAAAATCTAAAAAAAAAAATTTTCTTGCCGTGTAATTCCTGTTCTTGCTTCAGAAGGTTTTTTTGCTGTTTTATTTTTTTGCCATGTTTGTTAAATAAATATCTCTACACATGTTCCATTCAGTGATCCCCGACCTCATCGTTGCCTGTTACTTTCGGTTGATATTATTGGTTTTTAATTCAATTGCCACTTACGTATGTTAAATGTTTTCTTTTGGGGATTACTTGACATTGTCTGAGCCATCGAAATCCCATTTCCCCCCAGCCGTTGTTTCCCCATTTCCCTCTTCCCTTTTACCATATTCCATGTATCCTTATAAATGTTGAATGCGAGTTAATTATTTAATGCCTGTCACCCAGTGGCTAACACGACCCGACCCCTTCAAATGCAAATTGCCTTCGTCACCAGCTGGATTTTGTCTGGGGATTGGCAACTCAGTTGGAGCACAGGACATGGGATAACGTTGGACTAGACAGGACTCTATGGAAAATAATTTAAAGTAAAGTACTAGGATAGTGGGAGATTCTTTTAAACTCCAGTTTTCAGAAATCCTAGATATGGAAAGTTAAGTTTAAAAAACCTTTTCTATATATATTTATTTTCCCTTAAATTTCAGACTTCGCTGATTAATCCTTGGCACCCCTTTTATCTATTATTTCCCCCGCCCAATCATAAAACTCCAACCCCAAGTTTTGGCCAAGTATGGCCGCCAGTGGGTCAAATAATAATGGTCTATCTTTGGTGTAGGAAATGCGCATGTCTATAAGTCAAGGGGTAGGTCAAGTTGGCTTTAATTTTTAGCAGCCCTTCTCTGCGCTTCTCAAACAGAGCAGCTAGTTCTGTGACACATGATGAACATCCCCAAAATAATAATGTTTGTTAAATACAGAAATACCATAGTAAGTCTTCCTATTAAGAATCTTCACTGAGATTCTTAATTAAATAGGAATGGAATACCAAACTATATATATATATCAAGAAAAGACCAATCTTACTAATAAAGAAATTAGCCTCCCTAATCAACTTTAATATTTATAAATTCCAAACAATTATTTCTAACTACCCAAGAACACTCGTTCTTATTTTAAATTTAATTAAATAAACTTTAAAACCCCAGACTAAAACGCACAGCCACCTAATCCTCTAGAATGCAGCATGTGTGTGAAAAGAAATTAGGGCCAAGATGAAGGGGGGGACTTAATTTTGGGATATATGTAGATACGAGTGACAGGAGCAGCAACAAAAACAGGACAATGGTCAGCGTCTGACCCTACAATATTTACGAGTTTGTTGCGCGCATTATCATTAATTTAACGGATTAGCAGAGGCACAGGGGGGCAACATCAAAAACCACAGAAACCGCCTTGGAAAAATGCACGAGACTAGATGCAAGGAGATGGTGTTGCGTTGCAACATTCCAGGAATTTTAATTGAGTCGTTTCGAAAGGACTCGGGCCTGGTGCGTGATTTAAGGCAAATCCCAAAAATTGTGATAATCGACTTTGATGCCGGGACTGTCGCCGCCGACAGTGTCGTTCGTCTGTCTCCTATCTCGACAGACGGAGCGAGAGATGTCCTGTTGTTTTTCCACTGCTCCACGGATAGAAGAGAGAGGGTCCTTTTTATTATAACGACAAGGCAGCAGGACGACGACACTTGGGTGCAAACGAGTCGATTATTGCCGCCTGATAATGTTCTAATTGCCCTGCAGTTTCTGTTTCAGTTTCAGTTTGAGTTTGAGTCTCTCAGTTTCAGTTCTAGTCCTGGTTCGAGACAGAGTCCTGGGCTCCTACTGTTTGGGCACATTTCTCTTCAGTTTCTGTTTTTTTTCTCTCCTATTTTTTTTTTGGCAACAGTTGCAGTTGGCTTGGCCTTTTGTGTAGACAACATGCTGGCTTGTCGGTAGGTGTTTTATTTGCCAAATGCATCCGACTATGCCCCAGGGGGCCCCAGGCAATAGATATGGCAGCAGATACAGATACATTTGGCCTGTCTCGGATGCAGATACAACTGGAGAGCACTTCATTAGTATCCCAAACTGTCCTCAAACTGGGATGGCAATACAGGAATTCAAACCGACAGACAGACAGCCTATCACTAACCGCAGTTGGTCACTTTCCTGGAATTTTTCGGTTCTTTTTGAAATTGATTTCTTAACTTTTTCACCTTTCAGCTCTCGAGAGGAGGTAATCATCTTTGTTTCGCAAGGAGTTGAGGTTACAATTGAAAATGTAACCTGTTGAAATGAAACTCGAAACATTATATAGAAATCGAGTTAATAAGTTGCTTAATTTTAATTGTTTCTGTTTGAAATTATTCCTTTCTCGGTTGTCCTTATCTTATTTGCTGTTAATTCAATCTATTTTCACACACATGGAGACACAATAAAAGCGAATCACTGGCAGTAAGGGAAAATTGAGCTGAAAATCGGTTAGCTGGGAAAATGGAGCCTCGAATGTCCAACAAGATTTGATTTTTATCGCAAGTATATTTGAATTTTATTGCGTACGAAATTCCCGATACAATCGCTGGCCATAAAAGGCGACTGGAGCCAAGGCCAGTACCGTCCCGTCCCGTCCTGTCCAGTCCAGTCCAGTTTAGTTCCATCCAATCCTAGCCAAGCTGAACCAATCCAATTGAATCCCATCCAAGCCAATCCAATCCACCTAGCCATGGCCAAAATGGGACAGTCACCATTTCTTGGCCACGTTGGCGTCATTTTCCACGCAATAAAATAAGCATTCAAAACGAAATCAACTTAAACGCCTCATGGCTGACCCCATGCTTAACCCCTTAACGCCTTAACCCCTTGGGTCCAACTCCTTGTCCATTCCTCAATGTGGCACATTTAATTTTATGCTTATTTTTATGTCACTCTTTGCAGGAATACACTTTCAGAGGGTAGCATTCTTTTTCAAAAGAATCCTTTGTTATATAAAATAAATATTATATACTAATTATAATATTGTTAGATATATTAATGAAGTAATATTGTTTGAAATAATAGGGACTTAGTGACTGCTTCACCTATAGTTGCCTTTCTTTTTCTTCCCAAGAAAGAGTATATAAAAGATTGTATTTTTGTAAAGATTTTCCTTGTTTTTTTCTATAACTGACCCTCATCCTTACCAACTTTCAATGGCCAGTGGCCGCAAATCCCCCGAATTGCCCAACTCCCCCAACCATCGGTTGGAGCTAATAGTTTGGGTAAACAAGGGACTCGGCCAAAAGGGTTGATTTAATAATAAGTTGAACCGATTTCCATTCGATTTCTATTATCTTCTGTCCTTCGGGGAACCCAAATCAAATGCGTATTTATCTGGACTTAAATGCGACTGCAAAGGGGTCTTTTCAAAGGGGGGGACATTGTGGCCTTGTGGAGGGAGTAATAAGGGAACACCCAGGAGCTGAAACTACGACTGAATGGCCTAAAGTGCCTTGGCCACAATGGGCTCGGTTCTCATTTTGGGTTTGGACTTTAGTTTGGACATTCAATGCACAAAGAGAAAAATTAATAGAAATAATATAAAAAATAGATGATATATGTTTAGTTTATTATCTTTAAATATGTATCATTAATTTCCTAATCATATGAATAGGATTTCAATTACTAAACATTGGTTAAACAAGACTTTCCATCAAGATTTTCATTATTATCATTTTGGGGGATACTTTTTTTCCTTTTCCTAATTTTTCCACTAATAAAACCCCCAATTTCTCTCACTGTTTAGAGACAGAAGCATCCGTGGCAGCAGTAAACAATCGTAAAACGTCTCAAACTGAACCAGAATAGACAATATATGTATACAACAACCATATACGGAGGCTTCCACAATGAGCAGAACAGGAAGAGGAAACGACAATGCCGGAGTCTCCGTGTGTGGTGACATCATCGGCCAAATGCCAAACAACAATTACCCGGGGCTGTTACCATTTTCTGGGCCCTGATTGCTTCATTTCAGGCGGCCCAAAAACAGTGGCCAAGAACTCTGGCAGATGAGTTATGGCAACTCACAGTTCAGCCACAGCCACAGCTCCAGCTTCTCGAATCCTCCGTTTCCACAATGGGATCAACAGTGTTTGAGAGATCCTCCGAAGGATTTGATTTATACTGCGGATGCGTCTGGCATCGTGGCAGCCGTTTGGCCTCATAAATGTCCCAAGTGTCCACTTTTACCAGCTGCCAGGATACTAGCTGTTATTTATCCTTGATTTTAATTATAATAGATTTATATCCAACTAAGTAGAGGCCTACTTTATAGACTAATGTAATTTGAATTGGTTTAATATATATTTTAAAACTTTAAGAGTTTCAAACGTAAACAAACCCTAAAATATAAAGTTCAAATCCATCAAAGGTTGAGTCTCAAATATCTCTGAACCGGGAACTTTGCGTCATTTTTAAATTGGTCTGCGGTCCATGCGGCAAATGTCGCCATGTTTTGAAGTCCAAAGACCAAAAACCAAAAAGCCTGGGGGACCTTAAAACCGAACAACAAACGCTTTTTTTATGAGCCAACATAAAAGGGGGCAGGCAGCATAGAGAATCCAAAATCAAAACGATAAAAATGGTCTCTCAACATTTTATTTTATTTTTTTTTACCCCCTCATGTGGAGCTGGCAAATTGTCATTAGACATGCCGAATTTATGATTTTCGGTTGTGATTTCTCTGTTTTTTTGTTCCTCTACTTTCCCCTCTGTGTCCTTTTTTATGTCCTGTTTCGTTCACCACCCACCGATGCCCGCTTAAGTATGCTACACAAACACACATTTTTTTGGTAACCCTTGCCACCCCCTTGTGCCGCTTTTCACAAAACTCATAAATTGTATAAATTGTTGGGCTATTATTTCTCGTGGCTGTCAACGCAATATTGCAGGCAAATTGTCCTGGACACTGACGACAACATGTTGGCGAGAATGGGTTAACTAGGGGTTAAAATTGTGAGCACAAAGGAAAGGGGTTAAGAGGAGAGAACGAACGAATTTCATATTTTCATATTTTTCATTTATTTTTTGGCGAATTTTCATGGGCCACCAGAAACCACTAAGGAGTTGCTCTAAGATTTTTGTGGGTTTGATAGAGATAATGTTGGTGAAATGCAGTTAAATTAATTAATAAAAAATATATTAAAATAATTATCTTCATCTTTACTTTCTTAGATTGTAATAACAAAATGTAAATAAAGTTATAAACATTAAATAAACTTTTTTATTTATATTTAAGGATGAATTTATTGGATTTCTGCTAACGCTGATTTTTATAGTATATTAATAATAGAAGAAAGATACATTTAGAATGTTAAAACATCTATAAAAGCCAATTTTAAATAGTATTAATAATTCTAAATGTTCTTAAAAAAATGTATTTCCTCATCAAATATATTATATTTTTAATATCTGCTATAGACTAGGAAAATTCAATCATTGAAAAATCTTTAAAGACGAATGTAGAATAATTGTAATATTTCTAAACGTTCTTAAATCATTTATTTCCTCTTAGAATATATCATATTTTTATTATTTACTATAGGCTAGGGGTATTTCATTTCATTTCTACTCTATATCATATATAGAAAATATGTTACAAGAAGTTGTTTACTAAGCAAAGTTATAAGTTTGTAAATATGAATTATTAAAACACACAGTTATTAAAACAAATTCAAGTAAATAACTCCATAATCAATTACCAAATTGTAGACCTAAACTCACCCATTTTTTGTATAAATAAAATATACATTTTCTACCCTCTTCATCGGGGTTGCAATTTCAATTGCATTTTCGCACAACTCGCAAAGTCTCCCTCTCCATCGTTTCTAAACCTCCTTGTCACCCATCAATTTTTATGGCATTTTCTCGGGTCGTTTGTGTCACATTTTTACCCATTTTCCGCAATTGACTTTCCAGCCTTGACTTATGCCAAATGACATAATTAGCTGTGCAAAAAATAAAGGGGCGAAGGGGCGTGGCAGGTAGCTGGAAAATCGGTTTAAGGCTTAGGGTTATGCGCTAGGGTTACGTGCCCAAAAACCCAGCCTCATAAAAGATGCAATTTCGCGCGAATTCTAACCCCAGCAAATCCTTTTTTCTATTGCATTAAATTGCCGTTTTTTTCACCCGAAAATCCTGTCAACTTTCCCATTTTCTCGCATCCCTCCAATTTTATGTGATTTTTATGAACGGTTAGAAAGTCAATTGTTTTATGGAACCGAATCGAAGTAGGCTGGTGTATTGATCATGGGAGGCGAGCAACCAACTGTCATCCATTCGTAAAGTTATGGAGCCCAAGCCAAAACCCTGATTCGTCAGTCGTTATCCATACACTGACTCCAGAACAACATATCTTTCGGCATACATTTGGTCTACAAAATTTAACCCCCAAAATTTTCAGATTCAAAAAAAAAAAAAAAAGTAAAAAAAATTTTGCAATACAATAGCCCAAATTAAAAAACCCTTTATGTCGTCTGAAATAATTCGCGCGTTTTCTGGAAAATCAAATTAAAAGACCATCGGAAAAAAGGACCAAGTCCTGAAATAGTTACAAAGATTATAATAAACCGCGAATTACCGCCTATAAAAGAAACGTAAAATCCTTACAAAAAAATTTAAAAATTTCCATGTAAAACGAGCCTTAAGCTTGACCAAAAAAAAGAAACATAAGAATCCTTTGGCCTTCAAATCAGTTAGTATTAATAGTGTTTGACAATGAGTCGTTCGGGCGGAGTTGGTCGAATCGCGCTGCGCGCTCTGTCCAGACAGCAGCCATTGATGGCCAAGCGTTTCTGTGAGTGGAACCTGGATGAAGAGGTCCTGTCGAGGTCCTTCGCCACTGGGGCCATGTCCAAGTGGGTGGAGATATTCAGCCGCCTGATCAACGGAGAGCTTCCCCTCGGTTGCGGTCGTCATGTGGCACCAAAAGTCTTGGAGCCACTGATGACCGGTGAGGATGTGCTCAATTTCAGCAGCGACAATGAGGAGTTCCGTCGCCAACTGGCCCAACAGCTGGATGAGCTGCGTCAGGCCCTGCAGGGAGGTCAGCGGCAACCGCCGAAAGGTGAATCCGAGAAGCAGGGACGCATGCGTGAGGCCTACAAGAGATCCCGACGTGGTGAATCGGAGGAGTCCGAGGAATCGGAGGAGTCGGAGCGACGGCCACCGGCCAGAAAGTCACGGGGGAAACGGGATAATCAGAAATCCTGGATGCCCGTTCGAGGTGAATCTGAGGAATCAGAGGAATCTGAGCGGTATCCCCAAGTAGAGTCGCGTGATCCGAGGGCACCAAGGACATCCGAACCGAAAAAGCCGGATCCCAGGAGGGCGGATCCCAGGAGATCGGAAAGGAAGCCGGACAGGACCATAAGAAGCGAGTCTGAGGAATCCGAGGAATCGGAAGAATCAGAGCGGAGGCCCAGGGCCAGAAATAATCAGGTGGGTTTATCAATTTTATGCAAATATCTTGAACCAAAGTCACAATAATCTTGCCAACAAAAAAGGGTTCCGAGTCGGAGGAGACCTTAAGAGGAAAGAAGGGGAGAAATAAGAGCCGCACCGTACGGGCAGAGTCGGAAGAATCGGAGGACTTGGGGAAGTCGAAGGAGTCAGAGGAATCCGAGGAGTCGGAGGGGCAGCCAAGGGCTCGTGACCCACATGTAAGTCTCTTTATTATATATTTTATTATAACCTATAACTTTCCATCCATATTCCAGATAATTGAGGGTATTTACTGGACGGGTGATGGCAAACGACTCGAGGTTAAAGGCCCCAAGGATGATAAAAAGAAGGGCAACTCGGGTTACATCTCCGGCGATGGCAAAGAGTCCGAAGAGGTGCGAGAGTCTGAGAGGAACCCTTCAGATAATCCTCGTGGCCAGGCCAAATCAGAGGACCTGAAGGACGATTGAATCTCATAGCAGAAATATATGTATAAAATGGCCAAGGCAACTCCTATAGTGTTTTTCATCCTTAATTCCCGGTACGCGCCTTAGCCGCGCGGTTTTACGATGAGGTTTCTGCGGGTTGCATTCAGTTGAGTCATCTGCAAGGCAAGGTGGCCGGCCTACCTGCAACCGCTTAGCAAATTTTATGCAATGCCAGGAGTCAAGGACGATTTACCTGACGCTTCCACACGCTTCCAACACGCGGCCAGGAGGCTCACTCTTTTTTTCTTGTCACTTTCGAAAACTCCTTTTTTACAGCCGAATCCTTTTTTCGGGGAAGGCGAGGGTTAAGTAAGGGTTTTGTCAACGATGGGTCTTAACTTTTTTTGGCTGCAAAGAGCACATATTTCATTTATTACAGAAATTGAGTATTACATCAGTGCCTACTGGTTTTATGTTTCTAAATATTATATTTATTTTGAACACACCCAACATCTATGATGGCTCAATTGTGAATCGAGAAAAACAATTCAAAACCAAGACATTTTCCAAGGAATAATAGCCGAAAGACTCCCCTTTTTTTAAGGGCAGTATTGTATCTATATCTGTACCTGAATGATAAATGATGTTTGCCAATCTATGGGACCCCAGACCGGAAATTAAATTTGTTTGGAAATTTGCCACTTTACCCGGTAGTCTCTAGTCTCGGTGAGTTTCTAATGTTTGATTTGTTGTTTGTTTCCCCCTTTGGTAAACGCCTTCTTTAAAAAAAAAAAGAACACGAAAAATTACTGTGAGAACAGGATACAAAATAGGACTAATTTGGGGGGAATATCTAGACACAATTCCTTGGGAATAACTTCCACATAAATAATACACATTGTTTCAACAACTTTATTACTTTTATATGCGAAACAAAATAAGTATGAAATATCTAAGTGCAAGTAAATACTTTCCAGAGATTCCTTACTATAGAAATTATTTACTAATTCAAAGCAAACACTTTAATTTATGAACACAATACCTTCAATAAATTGTTGAAATTTATTCGAAAAAACTTAAAATTCACTTCTGGATGGAATGACCACACGTTGGTCAATTAAGTCATTAATATGTCTTTGAATATTTTCTGATATCAAGAACCTGATTTGGTAAAAGGTGAAAAGCGACCTCCCATTGAGATGGCCAAGCCAGCGAGCTGTTTATTGAAACATTTTTCATCATTTCCTACACAAATCCGTGGTAAGGACAATGCGAGAAGGGGAATTCGGGACTAGGGAATAAAACCGCTGGTGGATCCTCTCATAAATCATGTCATATTGACGACAAACGGTGCCAGTGCGTCTGGCGATGCGTCTAAAAGTGAAATCCCAACTATTATCGGGGATTTTTCACTCACTTTTTTCTTTTAACCCGGACTCCTTTGTGCGGTTTGTTGGGGTTTTGGTTTGGTTTCCCGAAAAAATAATAAAAACGAGGACAAATGAAAACATCAAATCATTCATAACACTTGTTTGGCTGGCATTGATTGAGCCAACAACACACACCCCATGATCCTGACCATTTCCTTTGCATTGTCCCCTGACCGATTTCTCAGTTCTCGGTTCTCGGTTCTCATATCTCGGTTTTTATTTCATTTCTCCTTGCCTTGCTGGATTCCCAACCTGTTCACTTTCATTGACAACCAGATCCTCATTGTTTACGGAAAACATTTCGACTTCAGCCGAATCGCTCATTGTTTGATTGCCTTTGATTAATGTGCCCCTGGGTCTGTAGCTCAATTCATCGTTTAGCGTTTCCCTTTTTTTTTATTTATTTTTCTGTGGGTTTTTATTTCTGGATTTCTGTATTTCTGTATTTTTCAACTGTCGTATTTTTCTGGCTTATCAAAATAGTCGGGGGTGTTTGGAAAGAGAACTGGATCTGTGCAGGTTGAGTTCGGTTAATGAGGCCATCAATAAGTCAATTAGTCGCCTGAAGGCCCGGATTAGGGTTGATCCTTGTTTTGTTCGACAACCTCAACTCGTTTCTGACTGCCTCAATTAACTTGTCCCAGATGATTGCCCCTCAGCGGCAATGAGATCTCACATTTTCGTTTAATAAATCAATTAGGTTTTGATATTTGAGTAAAAGAGGGAAAGTAATTGCATTTATAGCTAATTTTCTAAGGTTCTACACCTTGTATTCAAGGCAGAGAAATATATAGAACAAATTCTGACCTAGTTTCCTGAAAGGGAAACTACTTTTTGAGGTATAGTATAAGGTTATACTTGTATCCAAGCCAGAGAAATATATAGAAATATTCTAAACTATTTATATAGTATCCTAAAACAATTCTGACCTAGTTTCCTGAAAGGACAGCTACTTTGTAATATTCTAAAATATTTATCTAATACTATAAAATAAATTCTGACCTAGTTTTCTGAAAGGAAAACTACTTTGTAAGGTATAGCATAAGGTAATACCTGTACCTAATGCTCAGAAATATATAAAAAAAATATTCCGAAATATTTAAATAATATTTTAAAACAAATTTTGACCTAGTTTCCTGAAAGGAAAACTACTTTGTAAGTTATAGCCTAAGATTATAGTTGTATCTAACGCTCAAAAATATATAAAAAATATTCTGAAATATTTAAATAATATTCTTAAACAAATTCTGACCTAGTTTTCTAAATAGAAAACAACTTTGTAAGGTATAGCATAAGGTTATACTTGTATCTAACGCTCAGAAATATATAAAAAAAAACATTCTAAAATATTTATTTAATATTCTAAATCGAATTCTGACCTAGTTCCCTGACCTTTTAAACTTAAACTTCCTCGTTTATAATAAAATATTTTCTTTTTCATCCCATTGAAACCTGCCATTCCACAGCTTGACCCATGATCTTTCTCCCTTTGACCCCATAATTATAACTTTCGATTGGCAAAATCATGTGATTTTGTTGGGAAATTAAAATTTCACGCCATGGCAACCATGGAGCATATGAAAGATACAAATGTATCTATGTATCTGGCTTTGACACCCCGAATAAGGATGCGGCTATGACGACGTCAGGTGGCTGGCACAAGGACAAATTTCGGTGGTTAGCCGTGGTGTGGTTCCACCTTCTAACACTTGTTTCCTTTCTTTTTTTTAGAAAATTCGCAACGCCTGGGATATAAATGATATCTCAGCAGCAGCCACATTTTCCCCTTACCAACCCCTCTTGTTGTTCCCTTTCCCTTGGTTTCTTTTTTTCGGTTGGTGATAACGTGAAATAATTGCGTGACAACCATGTTGCGATAATTTTCAATTAAACTGCGTTTTCCCTTTTTTTTTTAGAGAGAGTGAGAGGGAGAAAGGTAGCGTGAAATTTCATATTAAAATCAACTGATTTTCTGCTTTCATTTATTCATGCCGCTCCTTGTTTCGTTATATATATATATATTTTTTTTATTCTGTCGTTTGTCGTTTGTTATTCCTTTTTCGTTGTCCTTGCTGCCACCACACAAACGCACTGAGAAAATAAAATATACGTATAAAAAAAATTTAGCAACAATTTGCTACTGTTTCGCATTTCAGCTTCAACTCCTACTTTTGGCACTGTGGTTTTTTAAGAAAATGAAAATTATCAAAGTAAAATATATATAATATAAAAGAAAATATAATAATAGAAGTATATATCAATATATTATATTTCTTTTTATATATTTTCTCTATTTTAAATCACTTTTTAATTCGAATTCTTAATATATAGCATTTATTACATTATTTCTAACCAAGCGATGGTCACATCTTTTAAAAATTAAGTTGTTTTTGTATTAAAAATTTACTGAATTGCATGAAATATTTAAATTATCCAATTTAAATCACTTTTTTTGAAAATGAAGTTGTTTTGTATTAAAAATTTACTGAATTGCATGAAATATTTAAATTATCCAATTTAAATCACTTTTCAAGTCAAGTTTTTAACATGTTACATTAATTTCTGCTTAATTCTAAGCAAGGTAAGGTCACACTTTGTCAAAATTAGGCTCTTAGCTCCAATAAAAATTCCATTTAACACGAAATATATATTTGATATATTCAATGATGTATTTATTCTTATTTAAATTTATTTATATATTTCTATATTATGAAACATATCTAACTACCTCTGAAATATTTATTTAAGGACATTTTTAAGCACTTTGGTTCCACTGTGCCTGAACCGCGACGGTCGAGAGGAAAGTGTCACACTTGTGCGTCATTAACGCCGTCGGGTCACAGCTGGTGGATAGGTGGTTGGGTGGTGGGGTGGCTTGGGTGGTGTCCTTTTCTGGGTTGAGTAACTGGGGGGGGGGGCGGTCGGTGGATGCAAGGATGAGCTCTATTCGAAGCGTTTTACGGGTTGCTTTGGCCCTTTCTTTTTTCGGGGTTGCCTTTGTGCCACTGTGGTTGCCAACGACATTTTGCAACCATTTTTCTGCGGCCAAAAGGACAGAGCAAAACAACAAGTGCAGCCGGGGCGCGTTGTTAATTTGATTTGCGCGCTTTGCAATTTAACAATAATATCGTCATCAGGTCTCGCTGGTTTCGGTGGTGGCAATCCCGAGGACAACGAACGGAGGCGTAACCAATGCCCATTTAATTATATATGTACATCAGAGACGTCCTGCGCACTTCCTTGATGGGTCTCCTTGATGGTCTCCAAAACAAAAAAAAATACAAAAGAAGGCAATAATCTGAAATCTACCATCTTGTTTTGTTTCATTCGCTGCGCGAGTTTTTTATTAATTTTATGTGGGGGCATTCCTTGGGCATTCCTAGGATGCATCCTTATCCCGCCAAAGGCTAATTTATTTTTGTGTCCTCAGGGCGGAAGATGATCAATAATATAACATTTACTGGAAGCTTTGTTAGAGCTAAAAATGTTATAATTTAAATTAAGAAGCAGAACTGAAAACTCCAAGTTACTCAAAGCATCTAAATACCTATGAATAAAATTGTACAAAATTTTATTAGTTTTATAGCTTCTTTAGAAGACTAATCCTTATCTTTCAATATCAAAAATACCGTTCCTTAATTTCCCAAATATA